TTTTTTTTTATATCTACATAATGTCACCTTACATGAGAAAGAGCACTTTAACATCTCCCCAAAACTATCGTGCAGCAGCAGGAATGGCACAATGGAACCCATGCAATGTGAATCTGTGGCAATCACGAGGCAATGCAGTCACCAAAGACAAAAAACCTCCCGTATAGCCTTAACAGACTGTCGGGGCAAGTGCTGTTAGCGAGCACTTAGGGTGGTCAGCATCACGCCCCGGCCGCCTTTGTCTCCCTCGTGGCGATGTTCTTGCACACCGCGCACCAATTACTCATTTGAGACTGAGTCGACCGATGGGAGGCCCAGGACTGGTGCAGGAAATCGTCAACGATGTTTTGCCGTGAGCGAGAATCGCAGACGGGTGGCAGGGTTCGTAGCACGGCGCAATGCAACCACCTCAACACGTGCGAGCGTGCCACGTATATATAGAGAGAGAGTGCAGTGTGTGGTTCAGGCCTCATAAATAAAAAATGGGTCAATGAAACGGCTCTTGGTTAATTCATGCCCCTACGTCGCACAGGGCCCTCGCCGTGGCCGCAGTGTCAGCCGATAGAACAAAATCAGCCGAGGCTGTGCGTGGTGGTGGGGAGCGGTGGCGCACATGCAAACTATAAACATTTTTTTTATAAATGTTATCAGGTAAGGCCCACTGAGCTATGTAGCTCTTTTTCAGAAGCGACCTGGCCACAGATGATAGCTCAACGAAGTGACTTATCACGTGGAAATTTAAAGCAGCCAACCACTCTAAAACGCGTGTTTCTAAATGTGGAGGGGAAAACCGGAGGACCCGGAGAAAAATCCACGCGACCACGGGGAGCAAGTGCAAACTGCCAATATACAGGCGTCAAGGTCGGGATCGAACCCACGACCTCCTGTATATCAGGCGAGGTAGTTAACATCTTGCCACGGTGGCGAGATGTTTTACGTCTGAATGTGTGACCACCGTGCTGGTACTTGTTTACTTGTGACTGATTAAATGGCAAGGTGGCAAAAAAGACTTTGATTGAGAATGGCACCACTCCCCCCCCTTTCCCCCGTCCTATTGCGCTCCCACACAACGCATTGGGACTCCTTCCTCGAGTCCACTGCCGTGGTGCAGTTCTCATATCGGGCATGCAAATCAACGTGTCAGGGCCATCGCCTATGCATTTGCAATAACCTTCTAATTGCTGCAGCAAAGACTTACGGCGGTTCCTCTACACGAGCATTGACTTAAGAACGGGCGGAGCTGGCAACGGCGCAATTTCAAGCTCCATTGATTTCTTTTAACTTCCTGAAACTTTGTGAATTACTGAGCAACACTTCTATTAAACGATGCACAGTAGACCGCTGCACACGGAAACAATGCAGAATGGGAGCTGTGCGTGCGTGAGTATTGTATTGAGCCTGTGACCGCTCTCGGAAGCTGAGCCTGGAGCTGAGCCTGGATAACGCTTCAGCCGAGCATCATACGCAGCATGTGTCGTAGGCTGCTGCGGAGCTATTGCTGTCAGCAGATGGTCAAGAGTTCCAGATGCATTGTTGTACTGTATTATACTCAACCTCTATGCGACCCGCCTGCACCAACCCTCACGGAAAAATGCGCTTCCAATAATCCTCCACGACCCCATGTGGCGTGGATGGGCCCGCATCCAGCAGTGGTTTGAACAAGAGGCTGCACGCGAGAAAACGTGCACACCCGTGTGTATTGTAGAGCGATTACTTACTGACTCCCCTTCACTCGCTGTTGAGCATAAGGCCGCAACAAGCCCACGCCATGCCGGATGGTCTCTAGCAGCTTTCTCTGCTTCACCCCAAGACAGCCCCCCCCCCCATGGTCTTTAGTTGTTTAGTGATTGGAGAGGGACATTTGGCAACGGCGCTGACCTCTGAAGCCACGAGCTGGGAGGAAACAGGAACCCAGTGGAGGTGCCAGGTCCATTGGAGGCCCAAAATGTAATTATTCATGGGTGCTTCACGTTACTGTAACTCTCATATGTCGGACAAGCTACTCTATGACTCTGTTGTATCATCGCCCTGTGCAAGAATTAGGTTAATAGAGGAGTTACGGTTTGCATTATTTGAGTAGTGTTATTCGAATGAAGAGTTTTTTTATATATAAAGTTGATTTGAAATTTGGTGTACTCCTAGTTTTGCAAGTGAATCAGGCGGCCCTTTGAGCCTCCTGGGGGACCTCTGCTTATGTCGAGTGTCACAGCTGGGAACGCGTTAAAATTCCACGTCTAAGTTTGTGAACCATGTGATGATAATATAATAATGGGCACCATGGTGGCGAGATGTTAACTACCTCGCCTTGTATGCATTAAGTCTTCGGTTTGATCACGACACTGATGCCTGTATATTTGGAGTTTGCATGTTCTCATCGTGGTCACGTGATCTTTTTCTCCGGGTCCTCCGGTTTTTCCCTGCACATTTCAAAACGTGCGTTTAAAGTATTTGGAGGCAATACATTTCCACGCGATAAGCCACTTCGTTGAGCCATCATTTGTGGCCAGGTCGCTTCTGAAAAAGATTTACGTAGCTCTGTGGGCCTTGCCTGGTAAAATACAAAGTGAGTTCGCTTCCAGAGTAGCACGACTACCGCTGTCCAGCCCGTCGTTCGAAATGTGGTCCATTGTTTGGTTCGGGTGGCCACAGTCACTGCACTGTGGGGTCATGCTTAATGTCCCGCTTGTGGAAGAGGTGTGCGTGGCGAACGGTCGTCATTCTGAAGCAGTTGGCGATGGAGCCACCACAGTTTTCCTAGCAGAACAGAGCCACGTGGATCAGTGGTGGGGCCCTCGGTGAGGCTTTTTGGAAATCGGCCTTTTTGGAATCTGCTTATATATGTGTATTATTAGGTTTTTTCGGTAAAGTCACGTAGGTAAAAAATTAAAATTAATAAAAGTAAAATAAAAATCACTACGTTTCGGAGCCAACACAAGCTTCCGTCTTCAGGTGGAACCGTCACAGCACGCTCGCTGTATCAAGTAAATGAGAAATTCCAAGAAAACAGTCTTTGTATATATACTGGTTGAGGGTGGGAGGAGCCATTGTGAGGTTCGGTGCGGATGAAGCACGCTGCAAGGAATGAGCCTTTGTGGTGTAGACTGGTTGAAATGGGAGGTTCCAAGAGTTGTTAAGGTGCGGCTGATGTAAAGGTGTGTTGCCTCCGAAACGTCGTGATTTTTAATTTACCTTTATTAATTTAAAATTTTTACTTACGTGACTTTACCAAAAAAACCTAATAATATGAATCCTTGCAGTCACGAAAGCTTCAAATCTAGAATTATATATATGTGTCTGTATATTGCACTTCTTTCGCACTGTAGGTAGCCAACCGTGCTAATCGGAGGTGCGGGGGAAGGACAACAAACTAAACACAGAAAGCAGTTGTGAATAAAATTAGTTTTCAATCTAGATTTAAAAGTGCATAGCTCCAGTGGCTTCCAAATATCCAAGGCAAGAGCGTTCCGGATGGGTGCGTGATGCGGTGACCAACTTTGTTCGATGGTTAGCCACAAGCTGCTCCGAGGATGACCGGAGTTTGCATGCTGATTCATGCTCTTTGAGGAGATCAGCAAGGTACATATATATATCAATCAATGTAAAAATGTACAACAAACTATATTCATGAAAAGCTGAGAAGGGTATAAAACTGACAAATGTGGTCATGTTAAAGGAGGCAGAGCTACGTTTTTTTACGTGCTGCTGAAAAAGCCGTGTTTCACAGTAATACGGCGGCTTCTTATGTTTTTTCAGTCAAAGAGTTTTACTGTTACGAGATCATCCTTGATGTGATCACCTTTGAAGGTACAAGCTTGGTAAGGTGCCGAATGAGCGAATGCACTACTGATGGAAGCGTGGATGGCGCAGAGACCAATTAAACTGAAACTCAACAGAAGAGTGATTTGAAGTTTTCGTGACTGCAGGGATCCATACATACTCTTTGGTTCTTTCGGTAAAAGTCACGTGGGTATAAAATAAAATAAATTAAATCACGACGTTTCGATTGCAACACAAGCAATCATCATCAAGGTGGGAAAACCACAGCAAAAAAAAAATTTTTGCAAAAAAAAAATTTTTGCTGTGGTTTTCCCACTTGATGATGATTGCTTGTGTTGCAATGGGAACGTCGTGATTTTATTTATTTTATTTTATACCCACGTGACTTTTACCGAAAGAACCAAAGAGTATAAACAGAAGAGAACAATACATATTTTTAGTCCGGCCATAAAAGCACGGATTGTCACGGCTGAACGGACATCAGTTGGCAGGTACTGTTCGACACCACCGGGGGGAAGGGGGCTGCACATGAAACATGCGTTCAGATCGTTCGTACAAAAACACTCCCACGTTCGCTCGTGATAGACCGCAGAAGCCAAGTACTGTTTGCGAGTACCCGTTAAGGCTGACAATGCATGTTGGGCGTCATGGTGGCGAGATGTTATCTCCCTTGCCTGGCATGCAGGAGGTCGTGGGTTCGACCCTGACGCCTGTTGTATATTTGGAGTTTCCATGTTTCTCTCCTTGTTGGTCATGTGGATTTTTCTCCGGATCCCCCGGTTTTCCCTCCACATTTAGAATCACGCGTTTAGAGTATTTGGCTGCTCTAGATTTGCACGTGATGAGCCACTTTGTTGAGCTATCATTTGGGGTCAGGCTGCTCCTGAAAAAGAAGCAAATAGCTCAGTCGGCTTTACCTGGTAAAATATATTTTTTATGAGTCATTTGCTTACCTTCCTATACTTTGCACTCCTATCGTGTTTTTTAATTAGTTTCTTGCTGTAATGTTCTGACCCGCCCCGACTGGACATCTGTGAAAAAGAGCTTCATAGCTCATCGGATTCCTCCTGCAGTATAAATACATATTCTGAATTCTGAACTCTGCTCAGCTGTCCTAAGCCGGGTGATGTTACACACAGCAAGTCCACACCAGATATACAATGTCTACATTTACATGTATCGTGTTTTACACGTTAGATTTCAAGTTACGTGCAAACCAATACCTGAGACAGCAAAATCAGGACGGAGACAAAAATGGCCAGCGGCAGGCGGTCTCCGATCCACAGGAAGATGGCGTGCGTGCACCCTCGCACGTGAATCACTTCCGTGAGCTCCAGCCGCTGCGGAAGGGACGCAAAGACGCACAGCGCAGCACACGATTTCAGGGGCCAACGCGCCACTTGAGTCAGGCCCGAAAAGCGTACATCGAAGCCACGTAATAACTAAAAAAACAAAGTATTTCATTATGTTATTCGGTGACGCTGCATTGGCGGTGGGGGTGCATCAGCATGATTTCACGGAAACACTCAACCGACTCGTCAACCACACTGTGTGGCCTTAGAAAAGGGAAAAATATATATAATAACAGGCGACGCTTTGGGAAATGGTCCTCTATTTTTACGTGCCATGAAGAAAGGGCAATTGCGCAAAACGTCGCCTGTTATATACGGAGGGTCGCCCAGACGGTAATGCCACACCGGCAAGGAATGCATTGCTCTCGTTTTTCGATGGCGTAAAATCATTGAGTTTTATATGCTTTCGCGGCCAATATTATCCATAATAACGTTTGTTTCTTGGGTTAGATCGTGTAAATATAAACGTGTTGTGAAACCCACCATCACCCGACGCAGCCAATTAGTAAGGTTTGTCACGTAAACAAAACGTGCCAATTAGTTGCTACTTGAGCAAACTGGTGCATTGAAGGGTAAACCGACAACATTCACAATTCGAGGATAATGTTTCGCTGGCAATTACAATCAGCTTCATCAGGCGATAGCCAGAATTGAGAAGAAATCCTCCTGTGTCGGTCCCATTGAGATGGAACAGGATTTATATGGGAAAGTAATGCACATATTAACCAATAAATCTGCCCATTCCATGGGTAGGTTTCACTTTTCTTTAATGTATTTTGCCCGTGAAAAAAATAAGTGGGGCATTACTTTCTGAGCGCTCCTCGTATATATAGTTATTCTTTTAAGGCAGTATTATTGACCAACGTGTTGAGATTCAACGTCGTGATCAGTCAGGAACCAAGTTGTTATTAAGACGATGCTTTAGTAATCATAATAATACGTGGGCTCATAGCCAACGTAGGATTCCATAAGCATATGTATCAATCACCTGACATTATGGACGATATATTGTTTTATTTCAAGGCAAACACAATAGCGAGGCCTATTTTCGGGCTTGACTCACACTGGTGTCTGATCATTATCTTAATATCCATGCCATATCCATTTTACTTTGAGACTTGTGCGATGGGAATTATACATAAATATACTGGTGATGATCATCACGATCTGAATGACTGTGTTTTAGTAAAAAAATATAAGATTTTGAACGTGTCTCCAATAACACGTGAGTTGATGTATTCGTAATTAGGAACATTGTATTTTCCATTAGATAATGTATTAGTACTCCTGAGAATAATAATTTAGATTTGTATGTGTCATGTATTTAAACGAGGAGCATCTCTGTATGATGTACAGGGACAACTAGTTACATCAAATAATACGTAGGAAACATCGAATAACATAGACTAGCCACGATGACCAAAACATGAAAATAAGGTTAATTTAGATATTTTAAGATCGATACTAACTTACCAAACAACTGCTAATGCATCTGTGGGTATTCAGTGGCAGGGCTAAGTCCTGCTCTACTTGCTACACGTTCCCTCAGAGCCAACATCGACCCTCGGATGAGTTAAGGAAAACTGGTCAAGCAAAACCCAAAATCATTACAAGAATGTTTTAGTGTGAGAAATGGCACCGTAGATTATTAAGAGCACGAGAGGTGGAAGGGTGGCTCAGGCTTGGGCACCTTACGAAAAAACTATCAATCACTGACTAAAAGAGTTGCACTTTATTAAGCCGGACATTGGGTGAAGAAACTATACACCTCTGAATAGAAAATAGTCTAAAGTAACATTCAACTGACCTAGAGGCCAGCATTTAAAATTCTATATTTCCATGGTAAGGGCAATCTCTTCGCAGGACAATCACTGCTGATTTCGCACAAAAAGCAGTGTCCATTTGTATTAGCCCCCAAAGGCATTATGGGATGAGTGGATCTCTGACTAACAGCCACTGCAATTCAACTTTTAGGAAACCTGTACGCAAACAAAAAAAATGCAAGTAAAAGCTAAAATAATTGTTAGACGAACCTCTTTATGAAGGATGCCATAACCACAGTGTGAGTTCAGAAGTGCCCCAGGGTTCTGTAATGCAGACACAACGCAGCGTGAGAATGGGTTAGATAATATTAAGCAACACCCAAGCTTTACAGTCTGAACAATCCGACATGCATGGGCAGAGCAAGGCGTTCCTACATTACGAATCTGCATACAACAACTGAGTCACATTACGAATCTGCATACAACGAACAAGCCAGAGACGACATCATATGCCAGCACACGAAAAATGCCTCAACGGTTCGTCCTGTGTAGAAACTCGACTGTGCTTTTACTTCATTCAGTGGTGTCAGCGAATGGGTCCTAAATAGAACATTCAAGGCAAGCCACAGTGCTGGATCCCAGCAGCCTCACTCCACAAATACAAATAAAGGCGATAGATGGAAGCAAGTCTGGACTGCGGCCGACGTCAAAAATAAACATCTCACACAGAGACCCCTAACCGTCGAACCTCCCGGTTTCAACCTTCCACGCCGCCAATGGTCGACCAACAAACGAATCAGGACCGGGGGGACCATGTGGCCGATGCGGCCAACAGATGCCACAAATTTCGCCGTCAAAAAGATTTGGCGGCCTGCGAGTGGTGCGGCCACAAATCCCAAAACCATCGACCGGCATCGTAAACACTCCGCCGCTACCGCTGCTGCTGCTGACTTCACTCCTTTAAAGGAGGAGTGGATGCTGAGCCACTCTGCGCCTGAACGGGCGATTGAGTGGATACCAAATCTAAAATGTCATATTTAATCTGCTGCTATTAATCCATACGAAAGAAGAAGTGCGATTGTGGGCCTGCAACCGACGCTATGGGCCGTATAGAGAACCACTGTCGTCTCCGCTCCTTCAATTAAGGAGGAACAAACAGCAAAAGGGCACAAATTCCCTCCTGAAGCCCTCTCGTGGCGATCACACCTCAACATTGGCGTTCAGCTCCTGAACATATATATTTCCACATGCAAGAATAGAACACAGTCTAATTTATAAACAGCACAGGACTGCACCTACCAAAATGACAGTCTATACAAAATGCATATTTTTTTCATCACCACCTCCGGAATAATCAAATTAATCATTACCGGAAGCAATTATATTCTTGCACGCGGTAATATTTTCGGGAGGTAAATACCAATGTCGAGGTGTGCCGCTATGAGAGAGCTTCTGGAGAAAGTCGTTTTGCTATTCATCCGTTGAAGGAACCTCACCCGATCGCTTTCTGGCGCTGATGGACGGTACTAGTTGTGTTCAACGTGACATGAAAACACACGTCAGAGGTGGGGCCACCGCGGCAAGGCGACCGTCTCCCACCCGTCAGAAGCAAAGATCTATGGCCACGGCAGGATGAAGGCCTCCTCAAGCCATCACGATGTCTCACGGCCTCGCGATGCAACAGCGGATTTCATCGCCTCGCCTTTGAGTGGTGAACGTCCTGCCCTTTGGCTGTCGCTCCACTGCTATTCTCAACAACCGGTCGCCATCCCTTCGAGTGACGGGTCTCTGCTCAGGCCCACATGCTTTTCTTGACGGTCAATGATATGTCTGATCCGTATGTCAAAGCAGGTAGAATTGGCTTTAAATAAATTGCCAAAACTAATACTGTAATTACAAGTGACAGTCACGGTGTATCGGCCGTGAAATGAGAATGCAGCAGTGCCAATCATAATTGGTGGTCATGAACTATTGGATGGAAATTCTACATTCCTATGCAAAATTCCTATGCGAAAAGAGAAGTTCAACATACATACATACAGGAGCCAGTGTCTCCATAGCAGAACCACACTGGTGACTTCCCACATGGTGGAATTCATATGATCAACTCTGCAGGGCTGATGTACTGAGTAGACTCCTGACCAGTATTTGAATTAAATTTCGATTTAAAGCTTTCGTGACTGCAGGGATTCATCTTCTTGGTTCTTTCGGTAAAATAATTATATGTGAGAATTATTTTATTATGTTTTATTTTTATTATTTTATTACTTCCCTTCTACGTGACTTTACCGAAAGAACCAAGAAGAAGTATTTGAATTCACAACCTTCCAACTGGAGGTTGAGTCCCCAGTGCTACAAGGGTGTATGAAAGAGATTATGGCCATGTATAAATAGTGCAAAAAATGTGATTAAGTATGAATGCCCGTGACACACACACACCAATTTCCAGTGGTGTTATTCGTGGCCAGCACTTGAAGCCACTGTTGCTGGGATTGCAGCGAAGATTCCTAACGAGAATGCCACCACTCGTTACGCCAGAGGTGCTTGTCCCAGCTGTCAATAATGATGAATCGTGATCTTTGTCTGGGCTGATCAGCGCACACACATCCACTATAGCTGTAAACAACCTATGAGTGTGTGTGTATACTCCAACCAGGGAGAAACTAAATAATGGGTAGAACTTCTTGTACTCTGCTTACTGTGTAAGAGTAATATAAAAGCATTGCAGCTCGAAGCAAATAAAACTTTTTTTTAAACATACACGTTGGTCGAAGTTTGATCTGAAAATTACTTCTTACAAATTCTAGGAATTTTATCCCAAAGTAACAAGGGCTACGACAAAATCTCATCCCAACACAGTGCAGTAGATTAGATTTATTATCCAGTGTTTACTTTTCCATAGTCTACAGCCCGTTTGTAATAAAAATGGTAAACAGTGGTAATGCTAGGTCTTGTGCCAATCTCACGTGCAAGATCAAACAAATGCATTTCATCGTCATCGTGGAGAATATTAAAATAACAAAATTAACACGCGGGCAATTTGTCTTGGGCAATCTCCACCTGGCCACGTCATGACTCAAAGCGATGCTGACTCTGACGAGTAAACGCTGTGTGTCAAAACCGGTTCAGCGTTTTTGTTTGCCTTCTGACAATGTAGCTGAAAGTGACACACTCCCAGAAGGCTTGTGTAAGACATATTTTAATGTATTCTTTATGTGGAGAAATAGACTTGTGAAGGAGACGTATTGTCTGCTTATCTACGTTTTTACTCATATAAGATCACATTCACTCTTGTGTCAGGATTCAAACTAAGATCGGCTATAATTGGTTTCTCTTTGCGGTTAACCATGAGGTCATCTATGGATACTCCAAGGTGACATTTCTTAACACAAAAGGGGAATGACAGCCTTATCACGCTATAGTAAAGTATAGAGGGAGTAGTGGGCACATTGGTAGTGTACTACGGCTACGAACCTGGCAACCTGAGTTTGATTCCTGGCCATGGCTTACATCAGATGGCGTGTGATATCTGAACCAGACCTTGGCAGTCCCATTCACCAGCCTGCGCTGACCAACTTGGTGAGATTTGGTCAATCAACCACCGTGGTTGATTGGGGAGACCTTCATCCAGCAGTGGACTGACAAACGGACAAATGTGTGGTGTCATTTGTTTCTGAATGTTATCGTTCCCAGCCCCTCTATGATTCCAACTGCCACTCGCTGAGCCTCCTATCAGCTCCCTGTCAAACTACCAGGCCAAGCCAACCACCCATACCACTGCGATCATCTTTTGCCCATGTACTTCTGCATTTTCAATTTGAATCTTAATTTGCTCTGTATCTATTTTTTTACGTGGCCGCATCTCCGTCAACGCAATGAGGTTCTGGTCCTGTCAAAAGCACAACCCCCCCCCCCCCCGTGTTTGTATCATCTCACCGTCTGCATCACTGCACCTCTGTGCTTTTAGTTATCATCGAAGGGGGGGTGTGGGGGGGTGAGTCACGTGGCCTACCGGTAGCATGTTCACCACACGAGAGGTAGCTATAATCACTGCACCTCTGTGCTTTTAGTCATCATCGAAGGGGGGGTGTGGGGGGTGAGTCACGTGGCCTACCGGTAGCATGTTCACCACTTTCTGCGGAGGCTCACGGTTTAAATCCAGCGGCCGCCCATAATAACACGACCAGGAGTGTATTTATTGCAGTGATTATACTTCTCCGCGCCGTGTGGACGTTAACAAGTAGGCCATTGTGTGCTTGCGTCATTAGCCAAGTTTGAAATTACTCACTTGAAATTATAGCTACCACTCGTTTTACGCGGGGGTTGTGTTCTTAAAAAACGGCGTGCAACTCAAAATCACGTAAATTAAACGTCATTTTCCTATTTGCAATAAAGGAAATGGTTGGAGTTAGGGAGAAGATGCTATCTAACTTCATTCTTACGTATAGATATTTCAAAGGTTACAGTTCATTTTGTGGTGCCACAACGACGGGGCCGCTCTGCCGAACCAGGGAGCCGCCCGGCTTCCCCCACCGCACTGCCCCCCATCACCCGCCCCACATAAGCACACACCCGCACGCATTCCCCCCCCCCCATAGAGCTGGAAGGGAAGGTCACCTGATCGACCGGTTTTTATCCGAGAGACCCTTATCGGGATTAATTCTCACGGTTTCCGGCGATCAGGGAATTGGATGACCTCCCCGTGCTACGTGGCACCGCGGCGCTGCGGCCGGCCTTAATATGGTAGGTCGTGGCGTGGGGCATTCGGCCACTGCGGTTGAGGCGCATTTCCCCCCACACACACTCCCACGGGTCGACGGGGCGAGCAGGGGAGGCACGGGACAGCATGAATAGCGGGGTCACAGGGGCTGTTGCGCATAGTCATGGAGGGTTGGGATAATTGCGCTTGAGCGCGCAGGCCCCATTGTTAGGGAGGGTAAGGGATTAAGTAGGATTTACGCCTTGCACGCGGCACACTGATTAGCATATCAACAGCACCCAGAACCGCCGTGCGCGTGCCAGAGGATCGCGAGCCCATTGTTTAGCGCAGCATCCCCTTGAAGGTAGGGAGGATAAATAGAGGGGCGCAGAGGGAAAATAGCTCGCTTCTCTCCAGGCCAGCGGACCAGCAGGACTTCCAGCCAGCGACCCGGACGTCCGTGCGACGCATCGAGGTACGCTGTTAGCGCAGAGAGCAGCGAACCTCCGCGGGCACCAAACAGTGAGTGGGGAGGTGAAGTAGGGTATCGTAAGCCGATAAATAGGGAATAGGTACAGGTTTAGTGGAATAGGCCAGCCTCGTCGACTCACTGATTCAACATCAA